AAGTCCATAAAATAAACATGGTATGGACCTTAGAATTATCTAAATGCACTTTAGAACCATGTAAGAGTTTCTCTTCAAGATTTAATTTGGAACATCTTTATGATATTAAAGAAGTACAGAGTATGATTTTTAAACTCTACACTTCAATTTCTATGCAAAACCAAATTTTTAATTTGATTAAAGATTCCAATTTTTTTAAAAATCAAATTTAAAAAAACATTCCAATTTCAAAAGTCAAAATCGTCTACTAATGGTTTAAGTTTGACTCACTTTATCACGTTTCAACCAAAAATTTTATATTTTCTTCAATCAAAAAGAAAAAAAAATTCTCAAAAATTATTTCTACTACTGACATTTTAGTTTTACATTTTCTATTTTTTATGTTTTTAATTTCTGTGAAGTAAAAAAAAATAAAGTTATTTATACGGAGCGAAGAGATATACGGATCGGAGTAGAACCTAATATTTACCATTTCATGTCAACATCTTTACCTAATATTTTCAAGGGTATCCCACTTTTGAACGGCTTTTCGTTTAATCATGGGCTAAAATCGTCCTTTAATTTTATGAGTTGTACATGATTGGTCATTCAAATTTTAAAAATCCATAAATAATTCTTCAAGTATTTATCAATTTTTAAATTTAGTCTTTCAAGTTTTAAAAGTTCATAAATAGTCTTCAAGTGGTCATCATCCTTCAAATAGAGTCCTTTTTATGATAAACGTTAAAGGATAAACGGAGTACTAACTCCATATATATAACACGAAGTACTTGTACTTATGCATATATGATTGTTTTTTACGTATAGGGATTTAATGGGTTTCCACAATTCCAATCAATGTTTTATGTTCTTAACTATACAATTTGAACCCCTTAGCTTTGAAAGTAAACTTATCACCAGCATTTACAATGGGAAGAAAAGGCTCACTGTGCTGTGTTGCTCAGAGGACGAGGCCAGCGGCGGCCACTCATTGTAGGTCAGAAGTTACATCTGGCACCGCGGCGTAAGTTATATATATATATATGAAGATTGTACTCCATCCATCCCAAAAACTCTTTCACGTTTTAAAAAAATGGTGTCCCACAATCTTCTTCTCATTTCTATTAAAAACCACTTTTACCTCTTACTTTTTCATACCCTACATATCACATCATCATATCTTTTTGCTAATAATCTACACATCACATCTTACTTTTACCCATTACATCAATGGTATTTTTGAAAAGTCAATACAAAATTATCCCTCCCTTGTTTTACCACTTAAGTCAATATGTCCCTCTCTTTCTGGGACAGAGGGAGTAATATATAAGAAGCCAGGTCAGTTGCATCTGGAACCTATTGCATGTTAGAAATTATATATATGAAGCTAGTACTTCGTTTATTTTTTTAACATGTCCTGTAAAAAGGATTGCATTCAGAGGGTTGATGGATCCTTAAAGGATTACTTATGGATTTTTAAAACTTGAAAGACTGCATTGAAATCTCTATGAGATATACCACCCGCTTACTTTATGGAGTAGTACACACTCACTGAGGGTTAATTATACTGAATACTGTACTAGATCACTAATGATGATGACAGAGTTAATGTTGTAACACATATGCAATCACATCCAACATAAAGATAAAGAAAACACGACACACAACAGATTTGTTTTCGCAGTTCGGAGCTAAATCTCCTACGTCTGCGAGACCCACGTCCGTGTAACAATCCTCCACTAGATCATAGTAAAGTTTACACAAATCAAACACAATAGATCCTTCTAATGCTTTGACAAGGAAAACTTACGACAGACCTCAGATGTCAAACTCTGTTTACCCGTCACCTTGTCGTACGTGTTAGACCATCTTTAGGTTTCTTCCAAGGACGTGAATTCAGCCTTTTTTCAGGGCAACACAATACTCAACTCTTGGACTTGTGTATCATGACTTGGTCGTGGATTTAACAACTAGGAATGGTGTATATTTGGTGTGTTTATCCACGACTGAAATTCAACCTCACGCTAAGATAAAGAATATGGCGTGATCATGTATCTCTTGTAGAACTCTCTTGGCTTACTCTCTTTCTCTCTTAACCCTCATGAGATCCCTTGTGTTCTTTATATATGTGCGAGGATCCAATTAACCCTAACATACTGCTATAGGAGTCTTAAATCAACTACCAACTAGGTGTTCCCATGATCCATGAAATGTTGAGTTTGAGATAAACTTCAACACCCATAGAGGCCTATGATATCCCAACTCCACCTTGCGTAGTTCAGAGAGTACGTCAGTGTCTTCAGTCTCCTTGTCATGATAGGAGACGCCAAGCAGAAGTAGGATGACTAAACAAAATGCTAAAACACAAACACAAGCATCTACCCTAATCTATGTGGTTGTGATTTGTCAAAAATAATGCGAATCCATAAAGAGGGCAATCAAGAACAAAAGTACAACAGAGCTAACATGCATTTGGAAGTTGATAAATATTTGAAGGACTATTTATAGACTTTTGAAACTTGAAAGATCAATCGTACACAATTTATAAAGTTGAAGGACTAATCATAAATTTTAGCCTTAAGCATATTATTTCCCCAGCCTTATATGTTTAATCGGAATCTCGTGGCTTAATTTGGAATTTCAGTCGGTGGTCAAGTAGTAAATAAAAAAAATAAATACCGTTTCAAGATTTTTACTATCGAACAAACAATAGTTACAATAGTTTGGAATTAAATAAGATAATTTAATACGGAGTAGTATTTAAATTTGATACTCGTATATAAAAGCGAGATTTTTATATTCTTGATTTATGCAAGGACATAATATTACCTTTTTTAGGGAAGACATAACATTACCCTTAATCATCTTTAACCGCGATTAATTTTTGCATTCATTCAATATCAAGCCATCAATTAATTAAGTGGCAGTGACTTCAATCTTTAACATAGGGAGCAATTGAGAACTATCACATCCAATCCCATCTTCTCATGGTTTGCAACAAAGAAGAGAGTCACTTTAAATATTTTTCCAAAAAAGGTGGGCAGTTAACTCACTTTGGTTACATTTGACGGTGGTCAATTTTTGAATGTACTTCTTCAAAGTCCAAACATTTGCCTCCCAAATGCATATCCTGAGCTTAGTGACCGTCCTGTCGAATCTGAGAAGAGTACAATAATAATTGGATCTAATAAAGTATGATATGAAGTTGATAAAATATGCATTGTATGGTGGATATATATTGGACTGATCATGATGGAGTATGAATATTTGAATTATTTTGATTGGTTGAGGTAGAAGTTTATTAAATTTTGATTAGTTAAAATTTAAAAAAACTCGCCTTCATTTACTGTACGCGTTGACGCTAGTTACCATTCCAGGGGCATCGCCTACCACGTCCCCTCACAGCCCTCCTCGTCACACCCCTATACCATACATTTTTATTATACAATTATTATTACTTCATATTTGTTTCAAATTAAGTTTAGCTTCTCCCCCATTTTAAGAAAAATAATGAAGATTTTATTCTCGCCTCTCCACTTCCAAATAAAATTTTTATCTGTTTTCGCTTATTTCAAAATAAATTTTTAATTTTTTTCATAAAAAGAAAGCAATGTACTCAGTATGATTGAAAACTTTTCATAATTATGCTAAGAAACTCAAACATAAATCATTGATTGCTCTTCCTAATGTAATTCTAATAATTAAAAGCCTCTCCTACATATGGATGAGCCAAAGAAACTCCTTTGAGATTTGGACTAAAGTTGCAAAGTTTGGAACATAATTAACATTAAATGAACACCAGACAAAGCTATAACTAAATAGTACTAGTGAAATAATATCATCTACTGTTTAGTACTATAATCTTGCTTAATTTCTTCCCCTACCCTAAATTAATACTCCGCAAGGGGACAAACTTTTTGCTATTATTATTTCTTGCTTTTAATAACTAACAACTATGCGTCCAAAAAGAGTAAGAGAGGAGAGCACAAAAGCATTGTAGTTCTATTCGTTCAATGTATGATACAAGTATTTCAAATCCTTCACAATTGAGATTGTTTGTGCCAAGGAGATAGCCTTTTGCCTAAGACGAGAACATGGGGCTTCTGGTTTGGATCTATAAAAAAAATACTTTCTCCATCCCACAAAGATGTTCTCATTTTGATTTTTAGAAAATTTAAGGAAGATATAATTTGGTGTTGACTTTCCATAAATACTCTTGGGATTGATGTGATGAGTAATTAAAGTAGGATGTGATGAGTATATTATTAATAAAAAAAATATGATGTGATATGTAGGTTAAGAATTAGTAGAGGTAAATGTGGGTTTTTAATAGAAAAGGAAATGATTTTGTGGGACAAGAAAAAAAGAAATTAAAGGGGAAGAATTTTTGGGATGGAAGGAGTATTTTATTTGTAATTAAATAAAATAGACCTGTGCAAAAAAGGGCGGATATGGACAACCTTTAATACCCACATGGGCGGTTCGGCCCGAGCCCGAATGGTATTTAGGCGGATCTGGATGTTACTTTTAGCCCATCCGGGCCCGAATGGTATTTAGGCCCGAGCCCGAATGGTAAACAAAAATCAATATTCTTTTAATGAATTAGTATGATGGGTTTATTAATTATGCAACAATACATCTATTATGCTTTCTATGTAAATTTGGTGAGTGGAGATTTTATTTTAAACATTGAAAAAAGAGTACAATGTTTTTTGAATATTTTGTGCAAAAAAAGTTTTTTTGGTGTTTTATCCGGGCCGGGCGGCCCGGTGGGTAGTTCGGCCCGTTAAGGTGGGCGGATATGGGTAAAGAGTTTAGCCCATCAAATGCGGGCCGGGCTAAATCCGCCCATGTAAATGGGCTAATAACATGTCCGTTTGGAATTTGCCTATAAATATGGTACCTTGGTATGTTTTGAATTACGATCGGAAACTTTATACTCGTTATAGATTACTTACTCGGAAATGTTTTGATATGCCACGAAATAATTTTAACCTAAAAGCATTTATACGCGATTTGCTAAGTCTGTTAATTCATTATTCGCATTCTTCTTATACCGATCATGTAGCCGGTGGGCGTCGCGCAGTTGGCAAGACAAGGAGCTGAGGGCGAATGGGGTAAGACCCGAGTTCGATTCTTCTTGGCAACTCTGCAAGTATATGTACAGGCTCCACTCTATGTCACAAATCTGTGATCAAAGTTCAATTTACTTTCTCTCAGTGATCGTCCAATCAAGTCTGATGGGGCTCATTTTTCGTATATCGATCTTGTAACGCCACTTCGCAACGTTGTTGTCCCTCTAAATTCCCCAGCAGTTAACAAGTGCCCAAATAGTAATTAAAAGTAATTATAAGAACAACTAACATAAGTACAAACTTAATTATTAAGAGGCTGCCTCGAGATCTATCTCTCATATGAGCTGGATCAGTAAGAGTATTGAATTGGGGGCCGGCCAGGCAAGGCCAGGATACATATATGGTTTACCCATTAGGCCAAAGAAAGAAAAGGCAGGTTAAGAATCTGTTGAATATACATACATGCATACATATATATATATATATATACATACATATATATATGCATGTAGTCGTCCTACTACTATACAAGTACCTAGCTAGGAGTAGCTAGCATAATTTACAGACACCCACAAAAATGCTACTGATCATATACTAATTAATATCGATCCACAGATTCCATTTCCGTTTCAACAAACACAAAAGGTGCTAACTGTCAGCTCATGTCGTCCTAATCTCACCCGGGAAATCTTCGTGTTTTTTTTTTTTGAAATGAATGTGTTGATCCAAATTTATTAGATATATTAGATTTTTTTGAATGAATGTAGACTAATGGATGTCTACGCTCATTCAAATATAATTCAAATATAATGTTTTTAATAAAATTTTGTTGAATATTACAGCGGGGGAAAATAAAAAAAATAATCCGAACTTATAAAACGTTCGGACTTTACAACAAAAATAAAAAAAGGAAAAATAAACTTGAAGTCTTCGGGAGCTTGAACGGACTTTTCTTCGGACGGAGAACAAAGGGTCGCCGGAGATGTTTCTTGAACCGTAGGTAAGGAAAGCGGAGTCGCCGAAGCTTTCCTTAAGGTAGTATTGCCCGCCTCCCGCACTGGCTAACGTGGGCAATCTCCTCCCAGGATAAAACCGCTACGTGCTAAGTCTAGAGCGGTAGAACAGAGCACCGGCGAACGAGAATGACGGAGAGCTATCGCCGGAGAAGATGACCGGAGATGGGGAGTTGTCGGAACTGTTAGAACGCAGAGATAGAGAGAGAGATTTCGAGAGTGTCTTCTCTTTGCAACCAACCCCTCCTTTTATAGGAGGGGAGTTGGCTCTTCACTTGGACTGGACGGAAATTACGAGGGGACGAGTGTCCCTTCGGTCTCAAGTGTGCATGCATGCTTCATTACAACGTACACTTCGTTATTAACGAAGTGTACACGCGCGTTTCGTTTTGGTCTCGCAAAAATTTAGCCACGCCCCGCCGTAGACGCGACGCGCCCCGCCCTGCCCCGCCCCGACGCGCGCGTGACGTGACGTGCCGAGCCGGACAGGCGGCGGCGGCGGCGGCGGGCGCGCGAGGAGTCCTCTTCTTGTTCCTTTCATAAGCTCAATTCAATGCCTAAGCTTAAATATGAGAATACGAAAGGTTTGGAAACCGGTGTGGGACAAAGGCATTTACTCTACCTTAGTGTTCAACTTTGAGAATTAATTTCTCATTCACCCGAGCACCGTTCGTGACATGTCATATATCAAGACGTTCGTCTTACTTACGAGATTAATCGTCCATAATTATTTTGAAAAATAATTTTGTGGACCCAACCGAATTTATGTCCGAAAATGTCCAATTACTTTAAAATTTCCAACAATCCCCCACATGAATGAAAAATTAATTCATGTAACTGGCAATAACTCTGAAGTTGAAACCTGCAAGAGTAGGTAGGTTTTATGCCTTTGAACCTACTCCTTGTAAAGTATACCTTCTCTACTGGCTGTTCAGTAGAACGTGATGTCTTTGAACTGTACTGTCGTTTATGTAAACGACGATATACAATACACAAGTTTCAACCAACCATCATTCCGTTCTCATGGGTGCGCCCATTATGGTCGTGGAACACGCATCTGGTTCTGCGAGAGTGTCAGACAGGATCAGCCCGAAATCCTTCTGTTGAAGCGACCGCACTTCACTCTTACATAGGTGATTCTTCTAAGAGTATCCCGATTACTCCACTTGGACCTCGTTGTCCATAGTTCAAGAATCATTAAAGCATCATGCTAACCTCATCGTTTTCAGGAGTCACTATATCTCAGTAGGAACGAAGGGGTGTTAAGTCGGTGATCCGGCTTGCCCCCACAGTGACCGTGCTTCGTTCCACAAGTAGGTTGTCCCATTGAACCCAGGTTCCACCTAGGTTGGGTTTTCCTTCATGGAACGTTCCCAGCACAGGGTAGGGCTTTCATACCCATTCCTACCACTAACTTCTCATGTTGTTCATTGGTTAACCCTTTGGTTAATGGATCCGCTAAATTATCCTTCGACTTGACATAGTCAATCGAGATAATACTCGTATTGAGAAGTTGCCTAATGGTTTTGTGTCTACGGCGAATGTGCCTAGACTTACCATTATACAATTTGTTTTGAGCTCGTCCTATTGCTGACTGACAGTCACAATATATGCAAATAGGAGGAACTGGTTTTTCCCAGTTTGGAATATCCTCAAGTAAATTCCGAAGCCATTCGGCGTGTTCTGCACACTTGTCTAGTGCTATGAACTCAGATTCCATGGTAGATCTGGCAATTAACGTTTGTTTTGAGGATTTCCAGGAAACAGCTGCACCGGCTAGCATAAAGACAAATCCACTTCTAGATTTTGAATCCTTATTATCCGCAATCCAATTAGCATCAGTGTATCCTTCCAGTACGGGTGGATACCTGCCATAGCATAGGCTATAATCTCGAGTATACCGAAGGTATCTCATTACTCGGACTATGGCCTTCCAGTGCTCAGCACTCGGATTGCTCGTATACCTACTTAGTTTGCTAATGGCGCAAGCTAAGTCTGGCCGTGTACAGCTCATTAGATACATCAAACTTCCGATGACTCTAGCGTATTCTGTCTGAGAATCACTACTCCCTCGGTGTTTACCAAGGTGAACATTTACGTCTATCGGCGTCTTAGCTATCTTTGTATCATCCTTGTTGAATTTCTCAAGGATCTTCAGTTACATCACCCTAACCGAGTTCGAGTCTGGTAGGCCAGAAGAATCATAAAACTAAGGTTCTTAGTGTAGTCGGTCTGGGTTTAGAAAGTATAGCTTAGCACGCATCAACATGTCCTTGGTGGACTTGACCATCCTATCGTTGCTTCCAACGATGAGTATGTCGTCTACGTACAGACATAAAATGACATACCCTTCATATGTGTCCTTAAAGTATACGCACTTATCCGACTCATTTATCTTAAAACCGTTGCTCATCATTACTTCGTCAAACTTATCATGCCATACTTTTGGCGCTTGTTTAAGACCGTATAATGATTTCACAAGTTTGCAGACCTTCTTTTCTTGGCCCGGGACCTTAAACCCCTCGGGTTGTTCCATATAGATTTTTTCATCTAATTCGCCATTTAGAAAAGCAGTCTTTACATCCATTTGGTAAACATCCAGGTTTTGTAAGGATGCAAATGCGATGATCATTCTGATAGAATCTATCCTAGTCACAGGCGCGTAAGTATCAAAGTAGTCATAGCCCTCGCGTTGGCTATACCCCTTGATCACAAGTCTAGCTTTGTACTTGTCAATGGAGCCGTCAGGCTTCATTTTTCTCCGATAGACCCATTTGGAACCTAATGGCTTACACCCTGGAGGGAGATCAACCAGTTCCCACGTGTGATTCTGAAGGATAGAATCAACTTCACTCTTTATGGCCTCTTGCCACTAAGGTCCCTCATTTGAGGTTACGGCCTCGTGATAGGTTCGTGGTTCTTTTTCTACCAAACAGGTTAGAATATCGGGTTCATTTTCCATTAGAAATGACAAAGTTCCTTTGTCAAATTCTATCAGATATGTTATGAAGTCAGAACCGAACGTCTTTTCAGTTCGTATTCTTTTACTTCGTCTCAATTCAGTCTCATGTTCGACTTCATCATCGTCACCGGAATTCGACTGATTTGGATCATCATTATCCATCATCTCAGTATGAGAACGTTTGGACAAATTGGCTTCGTCACTTGACTTGCACGGAAAAATATGCTCGAAAAATGTTGCATTCCGTGACTCGATGATTGTGTTCTTGTGAATTTTAGGATTATCTGATTTATACACCAAGAACCGGTATGACGTACCATTGTACCCGATGAAGATTCCATCAACTGTTTTTGGACCGATCTTCATCTTCTTCGGTGGTGGTGCAAGTACTTTCGCGAGACACCCCCACACTTTAAGATACTTATAGGAAGGTTTCCTATTATGCCAAAGTTCATACGGAGTTTTGTCAAGTTTCTTACGAGGTATTTTATTTAGTAAATAATTACTTGATAAAACAGCCTCCCCCCACATGTTCTGAGGTAATCCAGAACTTAGCAGCATCGCATTCATCATGTCTTTTAGAGTGCGATTCTTGCGCTCCGCTACTCCGTTAGACTGTGGTGTATACGGTGGGGTTACTTGATGCACAATTCCATGTTGTGCACAAAACTCATTAAGTGGAGCATCATACTCACCACCTCTATCGCTTCTCAATGCTTTTATTTTGCGATTGAGTTGATTTTCCACTTCATTCTTATATCGAANAGATACTTATAGGAAGGTTTCCTATTATGCCAAAGTTCATACGGAGTTTTGTCAAGTTTCTTACGAGGTATTTTATTTAGTAAATAATTACTTGATAAAACAGCCTCCCCCCACATGTTCTGAGGTAATCCAGAACTAAGCAGCATCGCATTCATCATGTCTTTTAGAGTGCGATTCTTGCGCTCCGCTACTCCGTTAGACTGTGGTGTATACGGTGGGGTTACTTGATGCACAATTCCATGTTGTGCACAAAACTCATTAAGTGGAGCATCATACTCACCACCTCTATCGCTTCTCAATGCTTTTATTTTGCGATTGAGTTGATTTTCCACTTCATTCTTATATCGAACGAAAGTGTCTAACGCTTCATCTTTACCTTTTAGCAAATAGATATAGCAATATTTCGTGCTATCATCGACGAAGGTAATAAAGTACTTATTACCCCCTCTTGAAGGCGTTGTTCGAAAATCACACAAGTCGGTGTGAACCAACTCTAGAGGTTGAGTGTTTCGTTCGATTGTTTGAAACGAACTTCGAGTTGACTTAGCCTCAACACAAGTTTCGCACTTGTGGGTTAGGTCAATACTAAACTTAGGTATGTATTCCATGTTAATTAATTTCCGGAGAGATGCATAATTAACATGTCCTAGTCTACCGTGCCATAAACTAGAAGACTCACACACATAAGCAACAAGATTTTTATTGATCTTTTCATGAACAGTCATTACATTGAGCTTTACTAGCCCATCAGAAATGTAACCCTTCCCAATAAAAATCCCTTTCTTGGACAAGATTAGCTTGTCTGATTCAAACACCATCCCAAAGCCGTGTTTGATCAGCAATGACCCCGACACTAAATTCTTGCGAATATCTGGGACATAGAGCACGTCGTTGAGTGTGAGCTCCTTGCCAGAAGTCATTTTCAGCTTGATCTTTCCAATCCCTTGAACCTCTGATTGGGCCGAATTGCCCATCCACACCTTGTCACCGGAGCTCTCTTGAAAGTCGTGAAACATGCTCCGATTTGAACAAATATGGCGTGTGGCTCCTGTGTCCACAAACCATTCCTTCGGGTTTGACCCGACGAGATTTACCTCGGTGACAACCGCGCAGAGGTCCAAGTTGTCAAGCTCCGCACACATGGCTTCAGTGGTTTTCTTCTTACCCTTTTGTGGCTTCTTTTTCCTACAATCGGAGGAACGATGCCCAGTAATGCCACAATTGTAGCACTTTCCTGCAAATTTAGAAACACCACCCTTAGGACCCATTTTCTTCTTGTCCTTCCCGCCATGTGAAGAGCCCGACGGATGTTCTACAACATTCGCCTTAGCTCCTCCATTTCTTCTAGCAAGCCCTTCCTCTCGGATCCTCAACCGCGTGAGCAGTTGCTCCAGATTCAGCTCCGTTCTTTTGAGCTTGAGGTCGGCTTGGACATCTTCCCACGACCGGGGAAGTTTGTGGATGATGGCCGCCACTTGGAAGGCCTCGCTGACGCCTACTTTCTCTTCATTGCATTTGTTGAAGATAACCGTAAGCTCCTCAGCCTGGGCGACAACAGATTTGCTGTCGACCATCTTGTAGTCCAGCATCTTCCCGACGATGAACTTCTTCGTGCCGGCATCTTCAGCTTGATACTTTTTGTTCAAGCTATTCCAAAGCTCCTTGGCGAGCGTTGCACCGACGTAGACGGGGTATAGCGAATCTCCCAACCCCTCCAGGATAATGTTGATGTCGAGATAGTTGTTGTGGTACCATGCTTGGTTCACCATCGCCACGAGGGGGTCGTTGGCTTCATTGGGCTGGGGGGATCTTGCTGCAGGTACTCAGCAAATCCCAAGATGGTCATAAAAAACATCATCTTTTGTTGCCACATTTTGAAGTTCGTGCCATTGAACTTCGGTGGCCTTTGGACCGAACTAGCGGGTACCGTAATCGGCCCAACCGCATTGGGCGTGTGGAGGAAAGGCCCGTTAGTCGCCCAATGGGGTCCAACGAATGGATTGACCGGTGTGGGGAAACCCGCGTTCGGTCCTACGTTGACCGGTGTGGGAAAACCCGTGTTCGGTCCAAGGTTGACCGTCGAGGCCGAAGCCATAGTCGGTCCGAGAAACGGGTTCAAATTACCGACGGGGTTATCCCCCGTGGTTTCGAGCCCGGGAATGGGTCGAGGGGCCGACCCGAAGATCGAGCTCGGCATTGCAAACGACGTCATGGTCGCGGCCCCCACACTTGCCCCAAAGGGTAGTGGTGAGGACGGCACAACCATGGCAACCGAAGAGGTTTCCACCGGAATTTCGGAACTCATTCCGTTACCGGAGGAACCCACGATGCCGAATCCGAACTCCATATTACTACCTTAAGATTGTTGAATATTACAACGGGGAAAAATAAAAAAAATAATCCGAACTTATAAAACGTTCGGACTTTACAACAAAAATAAAAAAAGGAAAAATAAACTCGAAGTCTTCGGGAGCTTGAACGGACTTTTCTTCGGACGGAGAACAAAGGGTCGCCGGAGATGTTTCTTGAACCGTAGGTAAGGAAGGCGGAGTCGCCGAAGCTTTCCTTAAGGTAGTATTGCCCGCCTCCCGCACTGGCTAACGTCGGCAATCTCCTCCCAGATTAAACCGCTACGTGCACGCGACGCGCCTTGCCTCGCCCCGCCCCGACGCGCGCGCACGTGTCGTGACGTGCCGGGCCGGACGGACGGCGGCGGCGGCAGCGGGCGCGCGAGGAGTCCTCTTCTTGTTCCTTTTATAAGCTCAATTCAATGCCTAAGCTTAAATATGAGAATACGAAAGGTTTGGAAGCCGGTGTGGGACAAAGACATTTACTCTACCTTAGTGTTCAACTTTGAGAATTAATTTCTCATTCACCCGAGCACCGTTCGTGACGTGTCATATATCAAGACGTTCGTCTTACTTACGAGATTAATCGTCCATAATTATTTTGAAAAATAATTTTGTGGACCCAACCGTATTTATGTCCGAAAATGTCCAATTACTTTAAAATTTCCAACAAATTTTGGTGAATTAAATCAAAAATAATTTTGATCAAACTAGAGGAATACAAAGAAACTCTATTTTCCTCTTCAAAATATATAACGAAGTGCATCTTTATTTTATTTCTTTCCACAAAATGTATACGAAACGAGGGTAAAATTCGAAATATAAAACTTTTCTATAAGATGAAGAAGTGAGTTATATAGAATGGAGCATACTACCTCCGTCTTAGAATATTGGTTCAGTTTGACATTTTTTAGTCAAACTAAATAAAATTTGGACTTCAATTAAACAAAATATAAAATATATATTAGTATAAAAATAATTTTATTATAGCGTATATCTATCTTGTTGAGAATGTTTAGAATTTTATTTCATTTATCACCCCTTTATTCATATGCATGCAACACAAATTAAGATTAATTGATGACTAATTGTAAAAATAACAAATAATGCTTTATTGCTTGAATAATTTAGAGGAATACAAAGTAATGAATATAAAGGTGGAGTTGAGTATTCTAGAATTCTTCATATTAATGGCTAGATAAATAAGGAAATATTGTATTATAATAACTCTAGCTATAATATGTAACAACCATAAATATAATACGGAGTGTATAATATTAAATATATTAAAGTAATTAATACTCCCTCCGTCCGGAAATGTTCTTCCCATTTGACTTTTTACGGTCTCCAAGATTGCACTTTGACCACTAATATCTTTATTTATACATGGATATATTTTATAAAAATTGATACTCCCTCCGTCCTATATCTTTCTTCCCGTTGCGCAAAACGAATAAAAATCCCAAGTTTTTTCAATCTATTTTATTTAAATATTGGTATAGAAATAAAAAACAAAACATACATATTTAAAAACTACATCAAAAGTTCAACAAAACAAGTGGTGACAAGAATATTTTATTTTATCATATATGCCATGAAAAAACACAAATAAATATAAATTCCCGTGAAGTTAGAATAATGCTCTGGGAAAAAAGTTTTAGGACGGAGGGAGTATTTGAAAACTATATTTCAAAATAAATATATTCATATTAAAGTTATATCGTAATACAATATATTTTTTCCACATATCATAGTCAAAGTTTATAAACTTTGACCAAGAATAGACAAATGAGAAGTACTACGTATATTTTTGGACGGAGGGAGTATATTTAACACTAATGTCCGTTTAGTTTGACGTAGAGTTAATGTCCGGAGCATATATATGTGTACTTTTGAAGAAGAGTGACCAAGTGCTTGCACAAATGTACTAAGAACAAATTTTGCACCTTATTTATTCTTCCTCCGACCCAAAAAAGTCTTTCACGTTTCAAAGAAATGGTGTCCCACAATCTCATTCACATTACTATTATATTAAAAAACAACTTTTACCTATTATTTTTTCATATCCTATCTATCACATCATACATTTTCCTAATAATCTACACATCACATGCATCATGCTTTTACTGGTCACATCAAGGATATTTTTGGAAAGTCAACACAAAATTATTCATCTTTTATTTTTCCACTTTAGTCAAGTGTTCTTATCTTTCTGAGATGGAGGAGTATATCCTAAAAGGAATTTAGCTGAATTTGCATTGTCCCATATATGTATATGACTCTTCAACCTGTACTCAAACTTAAAAGTATCATCTTTTTTTCAAGCAAGTTGGATTGGACCAAAATTTAAAAATATGAAGTAATTATAAAAAAAATCATCTGGTTTGACTTGGCAACTAGCTAGCTTGCTAGCTAGGATAAATTTGGCGCAGCAGAAGTAGAGCTAGTCTTTTTTCCTGCGCTATTTTGACACTACTAGCTAATTAATTAAGCTTCTTGCCTATCTTTGCTTATACTCTCCCTCCGTTTCTTAAAATCCTTCCTCTTTCATTTTTTTGTTTTTCTTAAAACACTTCCCCTTTCTATTAAAAAACCACTTTTACCCCTACTTTTTCATACCCTACCTATCACATCATACTTTTTCACTAACAACTAAACTATCACATTTTACTTTTACCCATCACATCAAGGGCAAAATTGTAAAGTCAACTACAATTTAACACTACCTTATTTTCGTCCAAAATTAAAAGAGGAACTCTTTTGAGAAACGGAGGTAGTAGCTTATAGCTTAGACATGTACGTACTCGGCCGGGTACTACATGCTCCACGCATGCCTACTTGTATTCCCTCCCTTTCCCTTCCTATATATTATTTCGTTCCAGAGTATTTGTCTAGTTTAGATTTTTCTTATTTAATCTTTTTAACATTTGATCTATAATTACATAAAATATATATTATATATTAATTATATAAAATTATATTTTGAAAATATTTTATATAATAAATTGAATAAAAATATTTTTACATCAATATCTAATATAATTTTTATTTAATTTGAGGTCAAATTTTTTCAATTTTGACCGAAAAAATTCAAAAAAAATTTATTTTATACTATTGGAAACAATTTTGTTTCTTATAACTAATCTATACGATTATTTTGCTCCATCCGTCAGAGAGTATTTTTTTACTCAATTACGATTGACATTGATCAATAATTAAATAAAAATTGCATCATGATATATTGATTAGAAAATACATTTTTTTGGAGATATTTTACAAAATAAATCTGATAAAATTATTTGTGTAAGGATATCTCATATAAATTTTATTTATTAATGATCCAATTTAATCAATTTTAACTCTGAAAAATTAAATTGAACAAATAAATATAGAACTGAGTTACTGATCGGTAATATTTAGGCAGGCTAGATATGCTTGCTAGACTCTAGAGTGACACAGGGCCTCGATCGGCCTTGCCCGCTCAACGTTGGCTGGCAAATAATGTACCAAATCGCCTAGTTGACCAGCACCCCATATTTCCTTAAACCCCTCAAATAATAAAGTCGACGTCATGTCAATTAATTAAATATTAATTCTAATATATATTGATAAAATAAATAAATTTATTAAATCTATTTTGTAAATATTTTTAAATATTTACTTATCTAGTTAATACTTCCCACTTCCCTGAAAACATGAGACGTTTTGATTTTTAGGTAGTGTTTGGTAACTAGCTAGCACTTCATTTCAATTCATGCATTTTAATTCCAAAATTTGAAATCTTGAATTTCAAGTGACAAGGGGAGGTGTATGGATTTCAAAATAAACTTTGTTATGAATCAGAAGAATTTGACTCAAATCAAAATTCAAAATTTTTAAGTTTCCCAAACATCAAATTTGAATGAGGTGCTAAGCAAGGATAGATCACCCTGGGTCAGGCCAGTCACCTCAGCATCAGCCAACCACCCATCATGACGGCCGTACATGGCATTAAATGCGGAGGCAACGTCTGACACGCATGCTCGCCGCAGGAAATCGCCAAAGTAGTAGCACTGTAAGAACATCCCAAGTTCCCGCCAAATTCTCTCCTCCGAAATCCTCTCCCATATATAGGGAAAAGAGGGAACCACGAAAGGGGCGGAAAAATTTAGAGAGAGAAAGTAGTAGCATTAGAAAAGAGAAGAAGATACTCAAAAGTGTAATCGGGTCGGAGCCCATTGGTCCACCCTTGTATAACCCTACTATACATTCGAATAACACTATAAGTACATCCATTCGTATTGGGCTTCTAGCTCCCTGCCCTTCTCGTGATATTTCCGGACATACCTCTCTCACCCAAGTCAAGCCCAAAGGTCAGTATTGGGTTCTTGGGCCATCTCGAGGCCAGCAAACATATATAGTCTCTAACAATTAAAATTTTCTCACTTTTCTTATTCATTCATATTCCAAAATAATTTTGCTTACTTCTTACTCTGTATTTATTATTATTTTTTTGTAGAAACCATGTAGTCTAAAACATTTTTGTCATTTAAATAATTTTTAATCACTCATTTTTTTCATTATTTATCATCTTTTCAATACATTCCCCCTATCGTAATTTGAACTTAAAGTGATCAATTTTTAAAAAACCTTGTCATCTCATGGCATAACGTGACTATGATCTCGCAAATGAGATGTTTAATATTTGAATCCCAATTGAGAAAATGTTTACTTTTTTTTATTCAATAAATTAAAAAGTGTATTACAATATAATAAATACTTCGTTGTAATAGAGTTAGTATACAAAAAAGGTGATCAAATTAATTTAGAACGAAAAGAGTACGTATACCAAATGAATGATATGATAATGACCACAATTGGGAAGCTAGCTAGGTGACAATGGGTGGCAGATTAGGAAGCCAAAATGGTGACAAAAATCAAATGTGAAATGAGGTGACAATGCAGGGTGCATGCATATATAGTACAGGCCGGCCAAAGTTGTACGTACTAC